GCTAAACTTTGCATCTTTCCCATCTACCTGGAGGTTCAGGGTAGCTTTAACCCAGCTATCACGGCAGTCATAACCCATGGGGGGGTGTCCAATATCTTTTTGTCGCAAACAGCACTTTCACCGCCCCTTTTGCGGACCTTTCGTGCGAATTCGCTCGTGTCATCTTGTTCAGATTTGCAACAAGCAGTTTCCGCAAGAGAAGTTGTTCGGAGGGGCCATGAACCTTTCGCGAATCCCTTCGCCACCCTTTCGCAGTGCTTTCGCGAGCAGCATTTTTGCTTCATGTGTCGCCGAGCTTACAATTGTTAAAGCATGGGTTTTTGCACGACCCTCGCATGGAATTTAAATCCTGGCTGTTGACACAGGAATACTTGTTGCCGCTCAGCACTCGCCCAGAAGGCCCTGGAGGCTGAAACCGGAAGACTTCCCTCCCCAATCATAAGAAACCCTCCCAACAGAGTATCATTATAGATTTGAGGGAATACTCATTGTTGGAAGGGTTGCGGAGACTATTATGAGCGCGAACTGGTTCTCCAAGCTGAAACACTTGAGCCAGTTAACCTCCTGTTTTGTCAGAAGGGACAAGAGGAACGGAAAAAATACCACGCTGTTCAGCTACAAGGGGCTACTATCAGGCTCCATTCCTCCGTTCCCTGAGAACAACCAGCAAGAAGACGCCAAGCAGTGCCGAAAAAGGCGGCGTACGTCCGAAACACCCCAGAGGGCGGGTTTACGGCTTAGGGGCTTAGGGTTTATGGGTTTAGGGTGTGGTGTTGAGTAAGGTTTAAGGTTTAGAAACATACAGTTCCTAACGCAGACACTTCCTCAAGCATCTAGATTTGCCGCTCAGATCCATCACAAGCATTCCCAGAAGCTGCATTTGTAAAATGCAGGCCCCATACAGATATATAGTCCCCCTTAAGTAGATAGAATATGGTTAATATGGGGATCTTATTATGAATTACATATTCGATCTACTTAAGGGGCACCATACATTGTCTCAAGGCGGCATCCTAGGAGTTGGACCAGAATTCTAATTGACCCCAGAGCAAAAAAGCAACAAAATGCCGGGCGCCGAGCGTGGTAGGCCCGCACAGCTTCTTGGAAAGCCTTTTCCGCAATGTCGTACCTCAGCAGTCGACTGCAACTTCTTGCGGTGCATTCTACAGCTTCAAGGCCTAGTGGGGCAAGCAGAGCTTCCAGTGTCTTCTTGGAAGGCGGCGTACTAAACTCATTTCAGTGCGCAGGAAAGATTTAAAGCAGCCAGCTCAGGAACTATAATTAGGGCCCCATGATTTTTGGAAACCCCCATTTCGTTTGGATTCCAATCTCTGGAAATTTTTCACGTCAAAAACCCTGAGCCCTCAACCCGGAGCTTAGGGTTTAAGGCTTAGGATTTAGGCTTCAGTACTCGTGGAAAAAACTGGCATGAAAGAAGGGCCCGTGATTTTGGGAAGTTGCACAATGGATGGCCAGAATCATTTGCGAAGCCTAACCCTACGGGAAGTTTGTCCATTGGCAGCAAACTGTTTGAGCTGACATACCCTCAATCCCGAACCCCAAATACGACTGTAGAAGCCTGACAATCTCATTCCCTTGTGACCCTCCTCCATCTTTAAGCACAAAATCAAACGCAAGAATCCAACTCTGGTTCTTTAGGCCCAAACCTAAACCCTAATATGAGCTCTAGGCCCTGAAACAGCCCCAGCGACAGCTCCAGCTTGGAGCACGCCGTCCTAGGCAGGGAGGGAGGGAGTTGTTTTCATGCGGCTTAGGGAACCCTCAACCCTTGTGTTGTCCTTGCCTTGCGCGATCGTTGCGCCAGTTACTGACTGGGGAATAAATCCTAAGCCTGTGATAAGGCAATTTCGATACACATTTTCTCTGTGACCCACCACTTGGGGTAGTACCAGGTGAGGTCAGGACAACTTGCCTACTTGCTATTACTCGGTGGTACGTTTACAGGGCCCCAAAACTGTGCATGAATAGGCTGGAAACGGCAGCTACACAACAGGCAAAATCGTTCAGCAAAATCACTTTCAAGACCACACCCAGAAAAGAAGCATGGTCTAATGTGGTCTACTACACTGCGGAGGACCCCGCAAGAAACTGGGTACTGGCTTTACAGGCCCCGGACTTATCAGATATCACGATACAACTCTTCGAAATACCCCTCATGAGGCCCCGAGTCTTAAACTAACTCTGAACAGGATTGTACCCTGTAGGTTTCAAAAACAGTTGCGAACAGATCCTGAGCGTGATTAAACAGTACCGGGCAGCTAACCATTCCCCAATTGCCACCCAAATAGCTCAACCTCCCACAAGCTAATAAGGGGTACCTAAGAAGCATGTTTGCCCAAAACACTCTTGTGAGCACAGACTCAGGGCAACGCCGACTGAACCTCCAAACAGGGACTTTACAAGTCATCTTGACTAGTGGTCTGCCCTTAACCCTAAACCCTAAACTGTGGCGGCCGAGCTGCCCGAGACTACTCAGGTCGTCCACGACCAGGCTGTCGTCCTAAATTTGCCGAGGAGACTCACATTAGTGCCGGGTTTTTGGTCAAATAGAAGTTCCTCCTGCAAGGGCAGCAACAAAGGGAGCTGTAGGGGCCACATGCAGGCTTGTATATACATATCCATATAGTTGCAAAAAGGTTCCACAAGGCTCCTGGGCACGATGCAGGGATTCCACGGCCTTGCTCAACTTGCCCAACACGTTTTGCGCACTTTTGTGCTATGGCATATGGGGCTGTGGGTTCGGGGCGCTTCCTGAGAAAGGAATGCTCTGAGCATGAGGATGTCAAGAAGGAACGCCATGCCGACACCTTTTGGGTGAAACAGGAGGTATCCATGCACTGCAGGCTTTGGTCTTACAGCAGGCCTGTTGTTCCCAAGGAGCACGAACAGGGCCGCACAGAAATTCCCAACTTTCAAACCCAAATTTCTAGAACTCATAGCAGCACCAGGCTCGTGAAGCCAGTTAGTGCAAGCACCAATCATGATTTCTGTGAACAAAAAAAAAGTTCACTGCCAAAAGCTCTGCAAGACGCAGTTCCTCCCTGGTGGTTAGTAGGGAAGAAGGGATTATTTTAATCCCCTTGTGTTACATTCCCTAAATTCCCTACCAAGCCCAGGTAAGGTTCTGGAACCTAGGAATCATCAGGAACTAATCCACCCCCACCCCCTCCGGTCTTGAATATTCTTGCAGGAAATTCTGGGACAAACACCACAATGCCAGTATTCAGTATTAGGCCGGGTGTGGATTTTGATGTTCCGGCGGAGGATACTTCGCAGGTAGCCCCTACACAACCCTGAATTCCCTTTCTTTGCCCATTTGATTCTCTATAGGTTATATGATCTAAATTAGTCTAAACTCCGCACAGGGAGTTATCTAGTGGATTATACAGGGGAGTAGTATAGGTGTAATTTTAAGGGGGATACTAGGAGTTTAGACTATAACCCCTATGATCCCCTACATAATCCCAGCTTCCATTTCATTTTCCATTTTCTTTTCCATTTGATTCTCCATTATTAAGGGGGATACTAGGAGTTTAGACTGTAATTACCCTAAACCCTAAACCCTAAATAGTAGTCTCCATTTTCTTTTCCATTACCCCAATATAAACCCTATATAGAATCCCTATATATAGCTCTCGGCTCTGTCCCGCTAAGCTGACCCACTCACATGCTCCGAGCTTCGTGTTCTTCCCGAATCTCCGGGTGGGTGACGGCCCACTGCACCGCATGCATAGCCAGGAGAGCCCTCAGAATTTCAGGATGATGCTACAGCAGGGGCCTTAGACCCTAAACCCCAAACCCCTAAGCCCTAAGCAAGTCTGCTTGAGCTATCATACACCATATTTGTACAAGGAGTCAAGAACCATAACATTGATAATAGTGTGGCCCCCTAGAGTAGTCCCTGGCCCTGCGGACGACTTGGGGGAATGCTTCTGTGGCTGGTTAGACGGGCCCAAAAACCTAGAAGAGGGGTTTAGGGATTTAGGTCTCAGGGTTTAGGGGTTTGTACGGTCCTGCAGGATTTACAGGGGGTGACGGGAAGTATTGCGGCAGGTTTCTGCGGGATGCGGAAAGAGACATGAACTCAAAGCACGCTTGGAGTTGAATCAAGAATAACCTGTCATACAGCAGACAGGCCCCGTGACACTGCAGCAGTCCCTACTGCGTTTCAAATACAAGAAATCCAAACGGTGGCCGTCATGGCCACATTTCCGTGAAAGAAACGGAGCTGGGAGGCAATTTAGGTTTAAACGACAGGACCCACCCATGACTGTTAGTCGTCATGTCCCCGCGAGGGGGCTCCAGATAAACCTATGGCTTCACGTTACGCGGACGTGAAGAAAGGCCAGCCCTGGCCCAGCGAAGGTGCGTTCCACACCTACTCCTCGGCTACTACCTCCACCCTACAACAGTTAAAGATACAGTTAATGTAGGATCCTTTTCAAAGTCAAATAATGCTACAAATACACTATAGTGGGCGACCGTTACAAGGTGGGGGAAGGTGGGGGGCAGTGTCCAACCTATTCCCAACACAGCAGCCTTTTTGGCATGTCAGGAGGGCTTAGCCCGGATCATTGTTGAACAAGGTCCTGCAGTTTGGCGGGTCCCTAAACCCACACAGAACTGCAACATGCACGCGTCGTTTCTTCCGTCCCATACTAGGGATCGTGGTATTTTTGGGGGGGTCTTTGTTAGCTTTCACGACGAACTACGACCACAAACAGATCTGGCAGTCTTTCCCACCAGTCACAAGTTTGCAGCCGTTTGAGGCCCGGCAGAGTGAGGTCACCGAATCCTTGTGGAATGCCTGGATGATGCTTTGAGATCTTGTGCGGGGGATGATTCCCCTCAATCCTATACAATCCCCGAATAACCCCACATAGCCCCTACATAGCCACGGTTCTTTGGGCAAGGACAATGTTGCTTCCTGTTTGTCTACAAAAGCAAAGAAAAACTGTCTCCAGCAAAGACGGAGGTGCCAGCGTTCCGATCAGTGAGTTGAAAGTAAGGTCAAAAATCCTTACATCCCCGTCGCCACTTGCACTGGCGACCGTGGATGAGTTGATTCTGCACACTGCCAAGACGTCGCCTCTGTGGCCCCCTAAGGTGGCCTTGCATGTCCCAGAGGGAAGCTCCCAGACTTTAACGGTCTTATCCCCACTGCCACTGACCAAGAGCGTTGGGGTGACCCTGCACAGTGCGCAAACACCGCTTGTGTGACCAACCAAGGTGTGTGTGCAGCTTTTGGATGTGAGGTCCCATATCTTGATGCTCTGATCTAGGCTGCCGCTGGCAATGGTATTCTCCCCCAGCTTGCATAGCGCCAAGACTGAGCTCGTATGTCCCAGGAGACTTGCCATGCAGCCCTCCGAGGACAGGTTCCAGACTTTGATGGAGTCGTCCGAGCTCCCGCTCGCCAAGGTGGTAGCCTGGGTTGCTGTTAAGGAACTTAATTTAAGTTACTATATTGGGGAAACCCTATTATTTACTATATATTCCCATTATGGTAACTTAGTTCATGTTACTATATTGGGGGAACTCTATTATTCACTATATATTCCCATTATGGTAACTTAATTTAAGTTCCTTAACAGCAACCCAGTAGCATCCATCTGGCACAAGGCATTCACGTCTCCCTCATGCGCCCGGAACTCTGAACGGCACTTGCCGGATGGAAGGTCCCAAATCCTGATTGAGCCACTACGGGCCCCGCTGGCCAGGGTGGCAGGGTCAATCCTTAGATGACTGCAGGACCCGTCCTTTTACGTTAAATGTTTAGCCTCCCTAGCTTATCAGAGGAAACCAACAAAATTAAAGTCTCAAGCACCAAGCTAAAGACGGCAAAGAATCCTGCAAACAGATTTGATGCTGGCAGCGTGGCCCTCTAGAGTAGCTTTGCAGACCTTAGAGGTCAGGTCCCAAATCATCACCGTGTTGTCGAAGCTTCCACTGGCCAGCGTGTTTCCTCAGCATTAAAACAGCCGGCCCCAGGAGATCTAGGGATATTTAGGGCCGACAACTGGACATAGGGGTCCCGAGTAGGGATATTGGATGACCGCAGGACCCCTCCAAAAGGTTTTAACTTTAGCCTTCCCTGCTATCTAAAGAATAGGAAACGCAAAGCAGCCAAGGTTCCATCAATCATGCAGAGACACGAGACCCACTTCTTGTGGCCGCTCAGTGAAGATGGCTCTTGGCCGGGAACTTCTTTGGGCGCCTCGCCCTCCCCATCCGAGCCAGCTTCCTGTGCTGCAAACTCTGCTGTCGCTGTTGTGATGGTGGTGTTGTTCGCCACAGCCGGTTCAGGCGGGTCAGATGCCGGAGCCGCGGCAGGCACCTCAACTGGCGTCTTGCTCGAGCTGCACCCCATGGCGCAGGCACAGGGACAGCACAGTACGGTGCAGCGCAATATTTCCAAAGTAGGAAGGGCTCTGACGCTGTGCTACGGGCCCCAGAAAGCACGGACTTTCCAGCAGAGTGTGTCTCGGCCAGCGGCCTTTTGCAAACACATAACATTGGGGTAATGTTGGGGTTACATAGAGATAATGGAAAAGGAAATGGAACCTACAGGGATTATAGGGGTTATATTGATGCTAAAGACCACAGACAGGAACACCCCCTTCTCCACCTTTGAGGCACGGTCTTCTCAGGCACCTCAGACGTACTGCAAGTGAAAGTTAGAGCTTTCAAGCTGCACAGCAGATGCTCTAGACCTCTGGTCGTTTGTGTATGCTCCCTGGGTGGAGCAGTTCTACAAATCCCGACCCAAGTCTCCGGCTGACTTCAGGCATCCCTGCCTAAAACCAAATAAGAGCAGCCAGCACAGCACATCTAGGCACTACCCACAAGAATAGTCACGCTTTAAGTGGTAGTACCAGCAGCACTGGCGACAGTAGCAATAACAATGATAGAGCACCAATACGAAAAATCATTCAAGTAAGAGCAGCAGCCGGACTTGATAACACGAATAGCATCCTGCCTTATCCCAAAGCCAGTAGCGCCCTACAGCCCACCAGTGCTAGCAGGCGGCGTCGCCCGGAATTCGTTCCCTCAGCTGCTTTGAGTCTGATAGGCACTGTGGAAACCGGAGTAATTACCAGTGTCGGGGTATACTGTACTACGTGTGGTTGCATGAGGATAAAGAAGGGGATAATGTGGTGTCTATTCAGGCTTCTACATCAGGTACTGGTAGGGCATACATGCCCAGTTCATGTGATGACCAAATTTTGCGACTTATCACCACTAATTAGTACAACTACTCATGAATCCGCAAGTCGTGTGGAAACTATGTTGTGCTCTGACCTAGAGATTTTTTCCTGAAAGCAACGGCTGACAGTCTGGAAAACTGCTGGATATGCCAACAGCTTATAACGCCTTTATAATCCCTAGTTTCCATTTTATTTCCATTATCCCTCTAAAACCCCTATATAACCCCATAGAGGCCGCACTCAGGTTTTCCCTGGCAACTGCGCACTCACCTCGGAAGTTCCTGCTCACCCACGAACCTTCTCGGTGTTCTCTACCAAGAACTGTCTAATTCGGCAAGGTGCTTTTGAGGCAGTCCTTCATGAATGCGCGGATTTTTGGGCGACCAGAGTTCTTCATCCAATCGTCGCACCTTGGCAGGATCTTCTTTCAGGGCTGGACGTCAAACCGGGAACTAGGCATAGACTTCTGTGGCACCGTAAGTTTGCTATGCGAAGTTTTCATCAGGACTTTAGGACCACAAATCTTGCCAGCTATGATCCGCATACACCTCAAAGTAGCCGGGGTTTCTACCTCACTTTCCATGTCCTTGGCCTTTGGTTCTGCATTATTGGCGTAATGATTCAAGCCCCTACGCCCTGACCGAGAACCTAGACCCCGTATGAGCCCCAGAATAGATGGTAAGCTCCCAACTATCATGGAACCTCAAAAGGGGTCCAGTGTGGGCGACTTTCCTTTCAAAGAGAGCCTGTGTGGGATTCCATGTTTGCTTGGGGGAGGACAAGTTCGTGGTGCCGGCCTCTTCTCTCCGAACACCTTCAACAAGACGGCGCGCAGCTCGGTGCACATCTTCACAGACTCCTTGGCCAGGGCTGAGGGTTTCAGGGGCGTCTCAGCGCGGGCCTCCCTGCAAGCACAAAGTGGCCAGGACCCTGCCCAGGGGCCTGGAGGAATAAGGATTATGTAGGGGTCAAATGGAGGTTCCAAAAACAAGGCTCAGGTCCCTATAAGGCGTCTAACATAGGCATCTATATTTGGGCCCCCATCCATTCCCCTCATAGAAGGATTACATAGGGATTGTTATAGGCAATATGTCGTATCCCCAACCCCTATAATCCATAATCAAATTGAAAAAATTCGGGACATCAAATGGAAACTGAGGCTCATATGGACTTACATAAGGGCTATCAACAGGGGAATCTGCTTACCCCTACTGCCAAATTAGGAGCCCATGACTCTCACATGGGGTCCTCCTTTGCGGCGCTGGGACTACAAAAAAACAACTTTTTCGCTTGAGCAGCTGTGGTCTACCTGACATGCGCTTCTAGGTTAGGTTGGGCCCCCGCCCACTAATAGTGACCGCAACGGATAATCGTAATTATATTAGGGTGCCTATATATTCCTACTATACTACCATCAGTGGGTGGAGGCCTAACCCAACTTCTAGGATGGTTTTCCAGATAAGCAGAAGTCGGCTCCCACATTTCAGGCGACTTCAATTAATTTCAGATATCAGAGAAGCCCCAAATAGGATGGGCTCCAAAAGAAGGACCCTGAGGGAACTCAGGGGTTTCTTAGAGG